GTGCGTGTGCACCACGGAACGGTACATTTCCTACCGAAACAGCGATTTTCCTCGTACCTTTCCCGATGTTTCTTTCTCACATAAGCCAGTTTGTCATTTGAGTCCACAACCCGTGCCGGATTGTCAAGAGAGAAGCTGCTGGGCGCTTCTGGAAAATGGCAGGGAAGAGCAAATAGGGATAAAAACACAAATAGGGATAAAAACACTTTTCACTCCAGGCCGGGGCACACTGGTGCCCAGCACATCTCTGGGGTTTAGTTGGGATACTGAGGTATTTGCTTTTTCAAATGACTGGAATTACTTCAGTGAGTGACGCCTTTGACAACTCCCGTCTCTCCAAGGACCGTGTCCGAGTGAGCTCCATGGAAATGGACACACACCAGCAGCTTGCAGAATTAATCTCACCACCTCTGTAAGTGTCATCTCCAGCCACTGAACCACGTACTTGCTGAGAGTTAGCAGGAACAGCAGAGATATCTGCTCTTGATATTCCAGAGTAAATTATAAAGCAGGAGTTTAAATAGTTTATACACGTTAAATTTACGATAGCTTTTGTCCACAAATGTTAATAGTCTTTTGTCAAAGCTATTGTTTCATGGATGCTATGCACACTGGAGAAATAATCATCCCTTATAATTTAGGTTAAAAATGAGGTATTGTTTTGTCAAGCTTTCAGCTTGGGTTCTACTACCTCAAAATCACTTGTCACCCTGGTGCTGCTCTGGGCTCTACAGCTTCTGTGTGGCCTGGAGCAACTGAACTGAATCAGGAGATGCCCGAGTTTTTGTGTTGGCAGTTAGGAACCAAGAGCTGCATGATTTGCAGTTCCAGTCATTTTCAATAGTCCCTGGAAATTTCCCTCTCTGCAGTGTTTAGGTATAAACAACTTACTACCCCATAAAAGTATTTCATGTTTCCCTTGTGTTCAGTGGTGAGTAATTTTTTTAAGAGAATTATTAAAAGTGAATGGCCTATGTACAATAAAATTTTGAACAAGGAAGCTCTGATACACCTTGTTACATCAGTTTAAGAAGTTCCATCCCAACACAGCCAGTTTGCCCCCCAGCTTACCTTAAACCCACTCTGTCAGCAGTCTGAGATGCACTAGACAGCTCATTCTCACATCTAAGAAAAAATCATGTTGCTTTCTATTGTGATGATGCTGAAGTGGGATAGCGGCATCTTAAAAATCTGCCCCGCTGTTGTCACTTGCACAGCCCTGAACTGGAAGATGAGGGGATCCCACACTGCAGTAGCAAGGTGCTCTGAGGTCTCAGAACTTGCTTCCACAACATTTTGAGGGAAACTAAGCTGGCAGTGCTCTGATTCCAGCCTGCCCCTCGTGCTTGTGCTGTAGCTGGTCTGACCCAGCCTAGGGAGCTCAACCAGCAGGCAGCACCCTTTTTTTTTTCTTTTTTTTTTTTTTTCTCTTTTTTCTCCTGTTGTTGGTGAGTTTTTTGGGGGTAGCGTAATCAGATAAACACAAATGCTGACTCAAGAGCAGGGACTGGGTTGTGCTGATGTAGAGCAGTGTAGCCTCTATGGAAACGCACCCACTCTCCACCGAGTTCCACGGAGCCGGTGTAGCACAAAATTTCTAGGTTGGGGGCATTCACTGATCAGTTCCTGGTGAATCACTCATTGCTGCTGAGCAGGGGTCAAATGCTGCCACTGTCATTCTGTTTTCACTAGTTTTGTGTTTCTTGGAAACACTACAGAAAAATAAAGGACCAGGCCCCAGCTCCACGAACTGTTTTGTATCTGCCTCGGGTACTCAAAGGTATCTTCTGTTTTCCTTTCTGCCTCCAGGGAAAAAAGTCCTGATAGTCTATGCACATCAAGAGCCCAAGTCCTTGAACGGATCTTTGAAGAGGGTTGCTGTGGAAGAATTGAGCAAGCAGGGCTGCAGTGTCACAGTGTCCGATTTATATGCAATGCAGTTTGAGCCAAGAGCCACCAGAAATGACATAGTTGGTGAGACTAGCCAAAATACACTTTCTTCAACAATAACGATGAGAAAAACTTTCCCCTTGTCTATCCTGCTGCGTTAACAATGCAGAACCATTCTGTGAGGTGCACTCCAAAAAACAGTTGCTATTATTTTGTACAAATATCCCTCATCTAAAAAGACCCAGCTTTTTATTTTCTATTAACATTGACTGTGAAACACCAGTGTAGGAACCCAACAAGTATCATCGATATTTGAATAAGTCTGATCAGCAGAAATGGCCCCTCAATCAGAAAAATGAAATATCTGTATCGTACAGATTTGTAAAACAGTGTTTTGCCTTTAGACTAAAGTGAATGAGGGAAAATATTATTTTTACAGTATTTGCAATCAACTGCAGAGATGTTCTAAGAACCACCTTCTCTTAACGAACAAGATTACAAATGCTGCCTGCAATTTAGCTCCAGGCACTTAAGTGCTTGGTTGACTCGGCACCTCCTGACTACCTTGGCAGTATATGATTACTAAAAATGACTAGATGATGCAGTTAAGACTTGAGAAAAAGAGTGACGCTCTTGTTAGGCATATGTGATATTTTCACTGTGCTCTTACTAGCATTTAGCCCTAGTATTTTTCCAGGTTAACAAACACAAAGCCATAACAATCTGCAACAGCTGAAACTCTTTCTTTAAAACAAGAATAAAAAAGAAATAGCACAGGTCCAGTGCAAGCACTGGCAAAACCAAGAAGAAACTTATTAATGACCAGACATAAGCATTTCTAAAAGTCCACTCCTGAATATGAACCTTGGCTCACAGTGACATTACTGAGGGGGGAAAATGCTTTATAGCACCTGTCCACAATCAGTCTCTGAAGTTCACTACTTGTGGGTGAGAAGTGCCTTCAGATACCATTCTGTGTGCCTTGCTAAAGGTTAGTTCATGAGGCTACTGCCTCTCTCTTCTGCTAGAGATTGACAATCTGCTAGTTGAATCAATCTGCAGAATGAATGTATACATCTGATTCAGACACACTTGAATCAGCTCATGCAGTTGCAGTGGAGTCAGCAGAGCTGGCCAGTACTGGTTCCTCATCCCCTGCTGAGTTTCCCAGTTACAGAGACTGAAAAGCAGCTACATAGTGTTTGTGACTGCATGGTGGTTTCAGTAATTCCTAAAGCAGAGGCAGAGCCGTTAGCTAAATTCTCTTAAATCCTCTTAAATTGTCCACCGGCATCGCCAGAGTCTAGAGCCAAGCTTAGGTCCTCTTACTGATTGCACTTCATATGTTGCTATAGAAAGGTGAAAGCTTTAGTACTCCGAGACACTACATTTCTCTCCAGTCTAAAATCAAATAACCGACAGCTGGGATGGTGCTGAATATCCACACAGGGGAAAAAAAAAATTAAAAAAAGGAAGTGGGGAAAAAATGGAAAGCAGAAACTCAATTTAGAACATGCAATGTAGATTACAACATGTATTTAATGCTCTCTGGCTATGATGCTAGAAACAGGGCAAGCAATGACTGTTCACTTCTACCCACAGGTTGTTTGCAGAACACAGAAGAGTTCGATTACGGTGTGGAGACATGGCAAGCTTACAAGAGAGGAGGTTTGTCCAGTGATCTGATTGAAGAGCAAAAGAAGGTGCAGGAAGCAGACTTACTGATTTTTCAGGTCATTATTTTAAAGTGTATCAAAAAATACTTCTGTTGTAATATGCAGGCTTGAACAAAGGAAAAGCAAGTAAGAATAGTAAGAATATTATAGATTTTGTTAGGAACATGTAATCTAGCCAGAGTGAAAAGAGGTAGCAGCTCTGCCATCAACATAAACCAGTCTATCCAGCATAGCAATTCCAAGGTGTCAGGTTTTTCTGGTAGGAAGTGGATTTTTAAAAATATCAAAAATAGCAGGCCATGTGTGAACATTATTCATGCTAGCACAGTATGAGCTTTTGACAAAATAGTGGCTTCACACTGGCATTTCTGGAGAGTAGGAAAGCATCTGAAATTTGGACTTCCCGAACCGTACTGTCCTCATTTATTTCTGAGTTGCAGCAGCATTATCTGGATTTGTTAATGAATCATTACACCCCATCTCTATTCCCCACTGTGCCAGCTCTCTCCTCAGTGTCTACAAGTCCCAGAAGTACAGTAAAAGACAACACTAGCCTTACATTTCTTTGTGTGCCTGCTGGCCTTAGGCATAGCCTATATATATGCCACTGTCTGATTGCAGATGAAATTTAGGATGTGATCTTATCTCAATTAAGCATTTCACCATAAGTCTTCATAATTTTTACACTATTGCTTCTGAGATAAGTATAGGAAAACATCCCCTAAAGGAAGTGGTTGTTTTCTGCCTTCTGTCTGTAGAATGCTAGGAAGAGTTGAGTATGTTCTGGTGCAGTAAAAAAAAGGAGAAAAAAAAGCCTCTGAAAGACACCATAAAGTAATTTAAAATTTACTACAGACTAAACTCACCCCTTCTAGAGATAGTGGTGAGTGCCCAGTTTCCACATTGTTTTCCATCTTGAATTAAGCCACACATGGTTAAACTTTTTCAGAATTTCTTCTTCTGCACTGCAGTGCGTGCAAAGGTTTAGGGATAGCAGTGCATCCTGGAATAAGAGTCCACAAAGCATTCAAGATACTGGAAATAAGACATGACAGCTTTAGGCTGTAGTCCCATGGGCTAATGGACAATCTAGAAACAGAGGGTCCTACTGCTGAAGAAATTTTCATCTCAATGAAGTGATTCAGGGTTGTCATGTCAGTAGGGTGTGAAAGGAGATCTTTTTTAAGACCCCACACGTCAGCAGACTGTCAGATCAGCACTGATCACCAGATGTCAGTCCTGGCAATAAAAGCCTCTGTGCGCATTTTGGCCACGGTCTCCATTAGACTGGATGTTCCTGTTGCATTTCAGCAATAGGGGACAGTTCTGTACAGTCTTAAGTTTGAACTAAATGGCACCTTCCAGCTTCATCATCTTCCAGCGTTAATTTGTGTGGAAGCCCTCACATTCACCACGATGTTAGTATGCTGTAGATGCTCAGGTATGTACCTGAGACTGCTACAAACAGCAAGCACCTCAGTTATTTTTGCCAAGCACAGTTACTGCCTCTCCTGACAGAGAGCTGGAAGAAGGCACGTACAACATCTGAACGGGTTAAAAGAATAGGATTTGGCCTGTAGACCAGGCCTAAGGATGTCCTAAGGATGACTCTCTGTCCTAACAAGGTAACTTACTTTTTGCCTAGTTTCCCTTGTATTGGTTCAGCATGCCAGCAATCATGAAAGGCTGGATGGACAGAGTCTTGGTCCAAGGATTTGCTCACGAATATCCAAACTGTTACGATTCTGGTTTTCTCCAGGTATGATTTTGACACTGTTTTATTAAGATCAAAATTTGCACAATACTCTTGAGGGTATTGATATTTCTTTTCTTTTATATTTGTTTAAAGCTCTCACTTTATGCTTTCCTGAAATAATGCTTTGGTAACATGTTGAGTAACATTCAGGCTTGTTAAAACTGCCGGAAAGGTAGTACAATAAGCAGAATGCAGTGGTTCCTAATGATTTAAGCAATCTCCTAGACATTTTTAGTTGGCCTACAAAATGGGCTTTCTAAATTTGGTAGGTGTATCAGAGTGCACTGGGATGGCATACAGCTTGCAAACAGTTTACATCGATCCATTTCTTAAAATTTTAGTCTGTCATTCTTCCCACCACCACAGGACTGCACAAATCTGTAATTAGTGACGTACTAGAATAGGTGACAAGATCCTGCTCTGGGATTAGATGTCAAAGGTTGGAATTAAAACTATAAAACTTAATCAGAAACCTGAAATACCCAGTGCACGAGCCTCTGTCCCAACTATCTCCTTTCAAACTTTTCTTCTCTGTAGCTTATAAATTAGGCAAAATCAGTATCTCTAGATGACAATTCATAAATTTTTAATTCTCCACAACACTGGGAATATCCCTGGAAAATTCTGGCCTGCTGTCTGATGGATTTTATTTAGTAACAGCTGCAGTATCCAGAACCAATCAACATTAGTTTCACATTTATGTTTGCTTCATATTAATCTTTGTAATTTCTGATCTCCTCAACAATTCCAAACACTTCCAACTGTTTACATTTCAAAAATGGCTGCCTCACTGAGATGAACAGGAGTAATCCCCAATGATCACAGCTGCATGCTGAGCACAGGCTCGAGGCAGTTCGGATACTGCACTGGAAAAGTGTTATTTCAATTACGGAAGCCAAAACTGAGAGGATAGGAGCTGTGCACAAGCCCACAGCTAATACCATTGGTACAGAAGCAGAAGCAGCACAGGGGGTTATAACACCTGAGGAATAATAATAATAATAATAGTTTGTTCTCAAATTATTCCTCAGCAAGTGACAAGCAAGCCCAGGTTTGAAGGGGGACTATAGTATTCTTATTTCTGCATTCAGTAAGGACAGGAATAAAGATACTGTCAGTAACAGAGTGCTTTCCAGCCCCAGTTTTCCAGACATTGCATAGAGGAGAATAAAGGTCATCCCTGCTTCATACAAGGGTGTCAGATATAGAATTCCTTTTCTTTTTCATATGTTTCTGCCCAAAGCCCTGACACACAGTCTGCTGTCTACTTGCATGTCATCAATCTTTGCCTCAGAGCTGCCACTACACATAAGGTCTGGGAAATAAGAGGAAACCACCTTCTCTAGAAATTTGTGCTACCTGGGTTTCCCTGAATATCTCTTGAACTATTCAGCCACTCTTCTTTAAACGTGCCTAACACAAGTGCTGCTTTCTTAATTCCAGAACAAATTAGCCCTGTTCTCTTTCACCACGGGAGGAAGCAAAGAGATGTATGCAAAAGAAGGTATCGGTGGTGATATTCGCTATCTCCTGTGGCCCTTGCAGGTATAATATATGAATATTTGGCTATTGTTTGCCTTAATTTTCATTATTCCAATTATCTTTTACAGATGCATTATTGTTTAATTTATATGAAATATAATAAAGAATTAAGTTGTCAGTTCCAAGCATCTGCAGATTATAAATTGGGACCTAAAATCCCAAGACTACTTTAAAAGTCCACAGAGTTTTAAAGTTGTTTTGTGCCCATTCCCCAGGCTGGAATCCAGAGAAAGTTGATACTGTCAGCCTTTTAAGTTTCTCTAGTGTTATAGGATTTCCTTTAGCCCTAGCGTGCAGGATTTCTTTTCCCCACAGCTACCCAATTCACGTAGGATGCAGGGCAGGAGGGGAGTTACACATTATCCTGGCGTTAATGACCAGCATGTGAAAGTTAGCACGCCTTTTCTTGTTTCTACCCTTTTACCAGAAGCAGTGAAATTGAGAAGTTTAGGTGGCAAGGCAAATTATGCCAATGCCAGTTACTTCTGGATACAATACACGCATATAAATCCTTTGTCCCCTACCCACTGCGAATACCAGCCTTGTGAGGCTATCTAGCTACAGAGCTTGCAAGTCAACATGACAAAGAATGTGAAACACAACTGTAATTCAGAAATTCACAAAGGGAAAATGGCAAGTTGAGCTGATTTGAAAGGCACTAGCCTTCATTCAGGATTGTTTGGCTAAGCCAGAGGCAAACCATTAAAAAAACCCAGAACAAACCAAACAAACAAAACCCACCCACAACTTATAAACAGATGAGAAACGCTGCAGCTTAGGAACAATTTGTGGAGATTCAAACAGTACAATGAACTTTAAGCTGTCTCTGATCCCTCCAAATTTAATAACAAACAGTAGCCAAAGAGAATAGTTCTGTGGGTGTGATAGCACTTAAAAATCAATTCTGCAGAGCAGAATAAATGAAGTTGACCTTATTTTTCAGTGTATTGTTTGGCATTGAGCTTAATACCTAGCCTGCAACAGTGACTGCCAGGATAGGTAATGAACTCTTGCAATTTATTTCCCTTCTCCTGATAAATGCACAGGTTTAGAAAACCTGCCTTACACTGGGTCAGAGAAACAGTTTCAGATTTGAACCTTTCACATTCTTGAATTGAAATACTATTTCCTGAGGCATTTCTTTCTTTGCTTTGAGTCCAGCATGGAATCATGCACTTTTGTGGTGTCAAAGTCCTTGCACCTCACATCTGCTTCGCTCCAGAGTATGTTTCTGAAGAGAAGAGGAAGGAGATGCTGATTGCCTGGACCCAGCGTCTGAAGACTCTTTGGAAAGAAGAACCCATCAACTGCTCTCCTGAGTGGTATTTCAAGTAACGCTTAGGTATGAGACTACAGAGAGAAGATGTTTTTTCCTCCATTCTTTTTGGTGCTTTATCTCAATATCTGAATGCTAATCTCTGAATGTATTATAAGTACATTGAGCACTGCAGCTAGCAGCTTAACTGACAATATAGCATTTATCTTCATTGATTCCTGAGGGATTCTCTTCAATGATGGGTGCAAAGCCCTTTGTGAAGAATTATCCTTGCTCATATCAAGTGACATGCTGCCTACAAGTGGTTGATAACACAAGCAGCATTTAATTGCAAATCACACTGTTGCTGCTTATGAAACTGTAAAGTAGATTGCCAAGCTTATTTTAACACTTTTTGTACCAGCTGCCACTTTTTTTTTTTTTTTTTTTTCCATTTACCAGGGACTATGCTGCTCATAATCAACCTTGTTATGGCCTGTTCTTTCAAGTGAGAGCTCTACACTTGTGCTTTTGAGCCAGGAAGCCAGATCATAAATAATGCAAAAGGATGTACAGTTACACAGTGACTTAGCTGGAAAGCCCTGTGGACAGCCTGAGGCTTTTCCACCTATTTGCAAAGCAATATTAAAGCTATGACAGATACCAGAAAAGGAAAAAAACAAATACAAATATCACACAGCAGTATGTGCATGTATTGCCTTTCTTTATAGAATGTAGCTCCTATTTGTAAACTATGTAGTTTCCTAAAATCAAAGGGAGTTTTCTATTTTTGTTACCCTAAGTAGAGACAAAAAGGAATCCTATCGATTCTCTGCCCCTTCACACCAGTCAGTATTGCTCAGTTTGGGTCTGGGGGGCTGAGTGCATCCCCTCCAGCATCCGTGTAGATGGGCTTTCTCCGAGATCTCCAGCATCAGCACTCAGCAAGGCACAACACCTCCTAAAAAAACCTGCAGAAGCACTGTCTGTCTGCAAGCCAGGACCTAGTGGGACAGAATGACTGTCTGGCTCTTAGCATCTGTAATTTTTACCTTGAGCTTTAGAGAGATTATTTTTGTGCCTGAGAGCTGTTAACCCTTGTTGTGCATATGGCAAAGAGTGGGTTTCTCATTTAACTACACAATTTCTTGCTTTAATCAGCTTACCTAACAGCAGGCTTTGCACTTGGATATTAAAAGAATGTGGCTTGGATAAGAAATGCTCTTTTAAGTGTCAAATGGCACTTACACCTCTGCCTCCAGAGCGTGCTTCTGCTATACGTTCTTTGCAGCAGCCTTGTCATGCCCCACCCTTATGTTTCTTTAAGGGCTATTTGGATAATAAACATGCTGAGCCCAGATTCTAGAGAGGCAGTGTAAGCTGATACACCAGACTGGGAATTGCTACCGCAGGGA